CTCCCTCCTTCCCTCCTTGCCTCCCCTTACCATTAGGTCTATCTTCTTTCTCTCATTCTCATATCGTTCAATAACATCGGAATTTCTCCCTCACCGAAATATACTCTCTTTCGCTATATAAGGCTAGAACAAGATCCCTCCCAATTTTCCTATGTTCCATTTGTCCGCGTCTGCAGTTATACTCCTTTCTCTCTTTTACGCCAGCATTATGTTCTACCCCGATGAATTCGTTATACGGGAAGCGTGACTTTCAAAGGCTTTTGCGTCTTTAGAGGAAAAACCGCGAGCTCTTTCTTTCGCACACGGATCACATGCAGTCAACTTTGACATTAGTACCAGTAACGTTTCTTGCTATTATTTGACACACCCTCTATATACGTCTCTCTCTTACGCGTGTGAGCTCACATAAATATGTCTCTCTCGCTCTCGCAGTAAGTATACGAATTTCGCAAAATCCTTCTTTGTCCGTCTCAGGCGTGTATATCGGTATAAAGGGCTATGTAACATGGGATTTTTTTGGCACGTCTCCTATACCTCTGTCTCTCTCTTACTCGTATGTTTTTCGTAGCTCTCTATCTCTCTCGCACTTATTGCCGGTATAGGAAATTTCAAAAATCTAAACTCCGCTTCTCCTATCCGTTCAAGTACGTTCTACATATGCGCATATATGACACGTGTATAAAATTGCATACTTGCATTTTTGCACGCATGACTTTACTAGTAACGCTCTCGAGCGTTGCTACCAAAGTTTTCAGTTCCACAGGGCTGACCCGTGGACGATTGCACTGGAAATCATTCTTTGTCGGAAATACATCTTACGAGGTAAAAGAGCTGGACATTCGAGAGCCGATGGAATTGGATGGCAGCCAAGTGAATTGAAAGTTCGCTCCCGAATGCATGCGCGAACGAAAACGTTAGTTGCAATTAGCTATGTGAAATATGACTGCGCGAGGAAACTTTGGCGTTCCGAGTGTTTCTTCCGAAAATATGCCAGTCAACGCGAGATCTTCGTAATTCTGTAAATAATAGGGGGTGGGCTTTAAAAAAGAAATTTTTAAAATAAGACTTTCTCGAACGGAAAACATGATTACTTAGGATTCACTCAAAAGGGGATCGACATTAACACGATTGGTTATTCCGCCCGAGTATTCAAGTATTATCGTCATATTTCAATTTCATCGCAGCGTTTAAACAATTGGTGTACGCTGCGTTGGGTTTCCTCGGGGAAAGGAAACGGCTGGAGAAAGAAATGAAAGGAAAATTTAGCCGAGTTGAAAACCTGGAATTTTGAATTTACCGCTCTGGTTAATTATTCGTATCGTCAACTATAGTTGTCGCTACTTGGGCACGTCGAGTTTGAGTCCCTTTGGCTCTAGCGCGTGGTTCTTAAATACCGGTACACGTGCATGTGGATGTCAATGCAATTCTTGGGTAAAGAATTGAATTATAAGTGGAATTAGTCAGAGGCTCGAGTAAAAATAAAAAAGATATCAATAAATTATATAATTTATATGGATCTTACGGATTAATATTATAAACTCGAAATTATTATATTTTTTACATGCATTTATGGTAGCTCGGCATTCTTTTTTATTCTTATATAAGGGAAACGTGAGAGAGAAATTCAAAGCCTCCTGGCAGCGCTCCATTAACATTTCTATGACATTTCTCAACCCTTGCCTCGTTAGGCGAACAATGCACGTCCCGTACGTATATGTATCGAGTCACGTAAAAGAAGCATCGAAGCGTATCGCCATAATAAATCTCGCATTCTGTCAAGAGAATTGAGAGAGACAGAAAAAATGACGGTTAAATCTTGATAAAACTGTGCAAGCGATAATCACTATATATTGGATGAATCTCGAGAGGGAGAAAGAGAGAAAATTATACAAAGAAAAGTATACAATATCGTTCGAGAATATTGTACCATCTATAGATAGTTTTGGCATGGAAATCAAATGGACGTACTAACTTCGGCTGTACTCTACTAATGCTGTACTCTTGGGTAGCCCTATAATTATAAGTGGTATAAATAATATTCTAACTGGTGTATAAATAATTACAATATAAGTAAAATTACAATATAAAATAATTCTAGATTTGTATTCGTTTTTGGGTATTTTTACGAAATGCCAGAGTGGATAATGGAAACGCAGTCCGTTACTTAAGCGACAAGGAAAAGGTACTCCTGAGTACGGAGGGGTCGGAGGGCCTTGCGTGGTCGAGACTTTCAATATTTCCAGCCAAAAAGTTTTGTAATCGGGTCTGAGATTGGCTCTATCGCACCGGAAACTTTTGCGAGAAGGTTTTCTGAAGGGATTTCTTAGGCCGGTAGAAATTAAAGTAGCTGGAGAGAAAAGATTTAGTGTCTGTTCGTATAGTATTTATACAATAAGGTATACATATATCTATATAGGCTGTATATATACATATACAGATATATTGATAGAGCTGGGCGAAGTGTGCTATATCACGTAATTTATACGCACGAAATATCATTAATCGACAATGTGATTCCGGTTAAAGACACCCCGGGAATCCCCGATCCCGTGCCGAACACTTCTAATGAAATATGCTTTGCAGATTACTAATCTTAATTCTCGGTTCACGTGTTAACGGAATATCCTGCGCGTTTGCAGGACGAGATTCTTATCTACTATCCTTTCAGTAATGAAAGTTTAACTAGGAATTTGGTTCGAGATCGTTCCCATCCATTAAGTCGATGCTGCCGTCCATTGTCAGTAGGGATTCAGGAAGGACGCGTTGAGAGTCCTGAAGTAGATATCAGATGTCGCCTTGGTCGCACGAGTAGTCAGACAAAACGCCGATTATATCTGTCGCTGAGTTTTGGTCGCATAGAAACGGCCCGAATAGCTTTCCACCTACTATTCACTACTTACGGGCCTAACTATATACCTATATCGACGTTAGAGTCTACTGTGGAAACATGAATCCCAGGGTGGTTTTTCTTGAGTTATAGTGCATCGAGTATATAACTGCCTTTGCGCGACTATAAGGACGCTGGATAAAGTGACTGGTTAATGACTAAGTGATTGATAGAAAGGAATGAAAACATTTTTTTTATATTCCGTAATAAGTCGTGCTATCTGACAATCGAGCCATTTTTGTAGTATACGAGGAAAATATACAGAACTTTGTGGTGGACTATTTTTGTCGTTAAAATAAAGAGAGGGACGCTACAGGAAGTGGATGATGAAATGAGAGTTTTTTATCTCTGAATATAATGGGGTTCGTGTCATTTGAAAATTAGAGGAATTACATGTATGTATATATATTTTTATATATTATATAACTTTTGGATAATAGAATATAGAGTGTCCTACGCGAACGTATAACTTGTCACAACTACAGGCCTCGATTGGTACCCATACAGGATCACGTAAATGGCCAAACAGAAGGACAGTAAACAACGATCGAGTTAGCCTGGGATGTTTGTCCCTCCGCGTTCTGTATATGTTTCCGGTTGGTGAACTTGTCTCGTTCCAATTTTCCTGTCATTCTGGATACTCTTGTGTCAAACCTATAGAGGCAGATACATCAGTCGGATCCTATTTCCACGCCACTGTTCAACCTAGAAAATGCATTTTTAAGGCCATGTGCAAGATCATATAGATAGATACGTTGAGACAACCAGTACAATTGGGACATTCTTTATTTCCGTTTATTACCGTACATTTAAGTATTTTGGAATCCTGGCCAAAGTGCAGGGAACGTCCTGCCAAATGGTATGACAATTTCTATAAAGAAAAATACTTACGTGAAACTGGCACCCGACTTAAAAATATTATAATTTTCAAAACGCGATTCGATCGTACCCCTTTTGTACCTGTTTGTACTACTTTAATTTTCCTTTGTACCTCAAAGAATTGGAAATTACAGGGGGGTCAAAAAACCGCTAGCACCCAACTTGGAGTAATTTAAATTCTGTTTGCAGGGATGAATTTAGAATCGTTTGTACCCGTTTGTACCACCGTTAGTTTTGTTTGTACTCCAATGGGTAAAGAGATACAGGATTTTCAAAATTGACTAAGGGGTAACTCCGCCTTTTTTTGAGTTGGCTCAAATCTGCGAAGGAATGCTGCTTTAAAATTGTTTTCGCCTATTGGAATTGTTGATTACAGTACTGTTAACATTAAAGAGTAATTTATTACTCTTATTATTGTAATTATCCTAATTATAACATACGAATAAAATAATATTGATTAATAAAGTTAATTCAGTAGAATACGAATGCAAATGAAGATAAAGCAAAATTAGTAATCTTCTTGACTTGGTTGATTTGAAAATGTAAGTAATAATACCATTCAAAAAAATTTAGCTAATTTCTAGAAATTGTGGATGATAAATTAAGACGTTTATATAGTCTGAAACTGTATGCAAAACGCCCTGGAGCTTGTGAATGCCCAATGGAATTAAAAAAATATTTAGCTTATTTCTATAAACAAAATAAAATCGTAGCAAGTCCTCACTACATAATTTGTCTATTCGAAATTTCTTTCGAAGCCAGCTCCAAAAATGGCGGAGTAAATTAGTAGTAAGTAAATTAGTAAATTTTAGTAAATTTTGAAAATCCTGTATCTCCTTACCCATTGGGGTACAAACGAAACTAACGGTGGTACAAACGGGTACAAATGATTCTAAATTCATCCCTGCAAACAGAATTTAAATTACTCCAAGTTGGGTGCTAGCGATTTTTTGACCCCCCTGTAATTTCCAATTCTTTGAGGTACAAACGAAAATTAAAGTGGTACAAACAGGTACAAACGGGATACAATCGAATCGCGTTTTGAAAAATATAATATTTTTAAGTCGGGTGCCAGGTTCGCGTAGGTAAGAAAAATCAATGTCCTCCACTTCGCTGAGGATTATATTCGGTATAAAGCAAGTAGCTTGAAAAAGTAATTTTTTAAAAAGTATTATTAATTTTTATTAATTTTCTTTTTTCAAGTGTATCTTCGTTATTTGAACAATTTTTTTAGTTGAAGGAAGGTGATGGCCCGTACCGTGCGACCGCGACGAAAAATGGCAAATACGAGCGACGCTCCCTCGTCCGCGAGCAGCCTCCTGTCCAGTACGTCATCGTCTAACGGTCCATTCTCATCTTCGACAACGTCCTCGACGACCTACAACAGCGACGGATACGGTTATAGTAATTACAGCGGGTATTTATTTGGCGATTTGAATTACACGGAGCTCTGGGTGGACGTTTGGAACAGTACTGAAGTGAGTAACGTCACCGAGAGGTTGAACTCAACGATTGCGCCACCAGGAGGTTACTGCGACGAGTGGGAATCTGCCCAGCACAAGCTCTTCCAGGTAGGCGAAGACACGGTCACGGTATTACTAGACACGTACCTTGACCATTAATCCCGGGGATACTCTATTATTTTATTAATTGCAGGCAGCAAATTTATTCTTCGCGGCCGCCTTCATAGTACCGAGATCCTTCAAGGCTTCCGTGTTGGCATTGCGCACCTTCCTCACGGCAGGCTTCATGTTGGCAGCCTTGTGGGCTGGTATCACTATCTGTGCCCTGGATGCGATGCTCTGGTGCCTGGCCCTGGGACTCCTCAACGGCATCCACTCTTTGATATTAGCCTGTAGATTCTTACCACCAGCGCTCAGTCCTGAGTTAGCTGAACTCTATTTGAAACTCTTCAAGCCCTATAGGGTCAGCAAGAAGCACTTTCAGGAACTGGCTAAGGAAGCTAGGATACTGAAGCTTGATCCTGGTCAGACTTATGCTACTGAAGGGGTCACGCCGGCTGACGAGAGACTCTCTATACTTTTACGTGGAAAGTAAGTTTTTGAAATATGTCAAAGTAATCGGGATAAATAGTATTTTTTTTGTGAGTGCTGACTTTTTACATTTTTTTTTACTCTTTTGTTTTTCAGGCTGAAGGTGACTTGCGACGGCACTCACTTGCACTACGTGAGAGCTTATCAGTTTGTAGATTCGCCCGAGTGGGAGGCGACCCACGAGAACATCGATGATGTATTCCAGGTGACGGTACGCGCCGAAGAATCCAGCACGTATATATGCTGGACAAGACTGAAGTTGCTGAGGGTCCTCAGGCACAGGCCTCTGCTCAAGGTCGTCCTTAATACTCTCATTGGTAAGGACATTACTTCCAAATTGTACGCGCTCAACGAGCAGCTGGCCGGCGTGGCAGCAGCCAGTGAGAACGCTTCTGCAAATCCTTATAAAGGGGTCGCTAGAAGTCTCAGCGTGGATGCTGTCAATACCGAAGCTGCCGGGAGGGTACGTTCCAGTACGTGGAAGGCACAGAGGAGACACAGTAATTCTCGTAGTGACAGTAAGTAATGAGTTATTTGATTATTTTCAAAATTAAAAATATTGTCTTCTCATTATTCATACCTTGTTTCATAATGCGTACACATTTTTTTTTTTCAAATTTCTTTTGCCTTTTTATAATAATAATCGTCTCGATATTCGATTTGATCTCTATTAGGCATTAATTACTGTCAATTTTGAGGTTGAACTGTCGTTATTGAATTTGAAATGTTATTAGGAAGCTCACCGGCGCGATACTCTCATCAGTACTGGGCGCCAGTAGTGGCCAATCACTTTCCGCCTACGTCACCGTTCACTCCGGCACCAAATCTCGGATATACCTTGCTGCCGCAAGCTAGTCAGTTCTCACCGCCGCCACGTGTACCAGCGGTAGTATCGCATTCGCCGTTGACCCGACAACGTAGCGGAGGAACGGCAGGAGATTACACGCTGCTACCCCAAACGCCGAAGCTCGAACGGAAACGTTCGAAAAAAGGAAATCGAGAAGTAAGATACAATTTTCCAGTCACTTTCGATAAAGGGTCCGATCTCATACCTCTTTCGAATATTCCATTACCGTCGGTTCTCGCTGTCCTTTTATTTTCATTGTCCAAACCCTATCTCAAGTAACATAACCTGTCAGACCTTCGATTCTCCATTGACAGTACAAGAATAACTTATTCTTCGTTCCCCTTCCATTCCTATTTCTGTCAGGATATCACTCGATTCTACACAAATAGGGGGACAATGAAATTCTTTATAACAGATAATTTTTATTCTACCACCTACAGTGTGATTTCAGTGCGAATTGACATTTGACGAATTTTACCAAGTTTTCGTCGTGTTACATTGTCTGGCCAAAAAATTACGTAATGACAATTCACTGAGATCCAACTGTTGCCTGCTGTTGACTGAAGTGTGTCTTGAAGTATAAAAGAGAGACTCAAGAGACCAAGGATAAAAGGGACGCTTTAGTACTGAGAGAGTTTGAATTCTAAATCCCTTCAAGTTTTACATACTCTCATGGAACACGTGTAATGAGACTCTTTTGAGTGCGATATCTTTATTTTAAGAAAATATTCTTAACAAAATTTTCTTTTGCGTTGTAGGTCACGTTCGAGACACCCGTATGACGCTCGCTCGACGGGGAAGGCCCTGCAAGTGTACCCTTACTATCATTATCGCCACAGCGTACCGCCTAGCCCCGTCGTAACGTCGAGACACTTAAGAACACCGCGAAATTCATCCTTTGACCTTTGACCTCAAACGAAGACACAGTCAACATGAAAAAGTGCCCAGTACTATTTGTCAGTCGGGTGCCATTTGCAATTCTGGAACTAATAAGAGAAGATCTAGTCGGCAAACTCCATACTCTAGGAAGTGATAAAGGCAATGGACGCATCAAATATGATAGTAATTACTGACTTATTAAAATGAAAAAGAAAAGGAAAAATGAAGAAAGCCAGTTCATGGATGAAGAAAAAATGTGTCGTGCAAGATATAAGAAAAAAATTGATATACGTACTAGTGGACGCGAGATCAAAGTGTATCAATTAGAATATTCCATAACACCAGAGCGATACGTATACGCGTGACATTTTATAATAATAAAAAAAAGAGACTCATAAGAACGTAATGAACTCAATCAAATTCAAATTCGGCGCCACAATATTCGTATGCCGAACAACGGACAAACTTGCGTCCGGTGGACTTTTATATCAGTCTCATAAGCAAATGTAAAAGTTTATCGGTGAAATATTGATAAGAACGATAAACTAAGAGCGATGTGTTTTTTGCCTATTTCTTTTTGTATTTCACACGACGTTTCGTACTCGTTTATTACTAATTTATTCTATCGTTCTGATCATCGTCTCTGTCGCTAACAATGACGGACGTAACAACGAGACTGTCATAGCCTGTATGCAGAGTTATCATTCATGTGGTGATAACTATCCGTACCTTGAGAACTGTTATTTTACCGACGATAAGGTAATGGACAATGTCAGTGCTTAAGGATGCTTGATCGTAGGTTACATTTAGTAGTAATTAACACGCACCACCGATTATACGGTGCCGGATGATGAATTAAGGTGAAACTTCTAATACAATGTTTAAATAAGGAAACGTGTCTAAAAAAAGTCCCGTAGGGTGAAATAAATTGAAAAAAAAAAGAAAAACAGAAAAAATACACACAGCGAGAGAACGAAGATCTTCCTTTTGTCTTTTGGGAATTCCAAGGGACGAATATAAAGAAAAATGAAAAGAAATTCCAAACGAGATAGGTTTCCGTTATTCGTGAATCTGTGCATGAACTACTCTGTGAACTGATGAGACGAGAATCGCTTTGAAGGTATCTATATTTTTGTCGTTTATATACAATGGTGAACAGAGTAGAAAGGGGAGAGATAAATAAAGAATTAAATAAAGACACGTACGATTAAAATTAAAAAAAAAAACAATGATATAAAACATGGATATGAAGACTGCGTCGTAGTAAGAACAAAGAAAACAAAATGAATAAAACTGTTCAGACTCCTTAAGAGATCGTTATCATCATCATCATCAATATAAAAAAGGGTTAAACGATGAGGAGGAAGAGGAATGGCAGAACGGGGGGAAGATAATTAATCGAACACCACGAAAAACAATCCTTTTTTTTTTATCTTCGTCATCTCTGATACGAATTTCGAATTTCAAGCTTTATAGGGTGTTTTTGTGCTCAAAGGCTTCGTAAGGACTTTTCTACCAGTTCGAAAATACTACACTACACATATCTCCATTGATAAATACTGTTACGTGATGTGGGACTGCGTGATTCTGGCAGATAAACGGAGAAAGAGAACATCAAATATATATATATATACAATACACATACCACGTTAATCGTTACGGCTGCGATACGGTTCGCGTCTCCGGAAAATTTGCAGTCCCGTTTTTTTGGTTTCTTTCGTGAAAACAACAAAGCGGGAAAGTGTTATCATGCGCTTAATATAGTGAACAGAGGCTCGTCTTGTGTGCGTATAACAAAAAAAAAAAAAAAAAAAAAAAAAAAAAAAAAAAAAAAAAAAAAACAAAA